TTGCAGTAGCGCCAAAGCTTGACTGCCGTAGTAAATCCAATTCAGGTATCGAAGTATTTCAGATCCTTGCTCACTACGCTGCTTTGGGATCATTGGAACCATTCCTCTTTTCTCACGTCTGGCATTCATTTCTCTGGGGCGGCTCTCCATCAGATCAGACCGAAGGAGACGGCCGTGGGACCAATAATGGTCACTGTGGAACTTCACAAGACGTCTCAACCCTATCTCAGGGTTCCAATGGAAACTCCAAGAAACAGCGGAATAAAAGGGGCGGCGGGGATCCTCCGAATCGGAGAAACCCAAAACGCCGCTCTGTACAGCTTTCTCCGAATCAGGATAGCCACCGGCCGCAGTTTGCGTGTCCCTTCTATCTTCGTGACAAGGCGACATATTTTCCATGCCTCGACTATAAACTCCATCGAGTCGGTGACGTGCGGCAGCACATTACGAGAGCACACATACAGAAGATCTATTGCCCCCGGTGTGGGATCATATTTGAGGACAGAAACATCGTCAGCCGTGACCATCATCTTACTGAAGATAATTGTGAAGTCCGAGACTTTTTTATTCCGCCTGGCATTACAGATGATGAAGTTGAGAGAATGAGATCGGTGAATAACACGAATAACAGACCCGCTACTCGCCCTGACGCAGAAAAGTGGTTTGAAATTTGGGATAGCTTGTTCCTGGGGATCCCACGGCCCGCATCTCCATACCTAAACGTCGGGTTTAGCGTCACATCACATCTTATCGAAGAATATCAAGATCAGCCCAATTTCCGGGACCATGTGGAACGGTTGCTTTCACTAGTTCCCGGACAGGTTATGCGAGAGGAAGCTTTTAGGGAATTATGCAACTTGTTTAATGATATGTCCCTCTACTCTAGGCAACGTATAGGGGGCTCTATCAACTATGGCATTAACTATGGCCAAGGCAGCGATAATATACCGCGAGACGTTCTTTTGCTACCACCAGCAGCGCCTCAATCGCCTATCAATTCGAACGGTACTCCGGGCTTATCAACGTCGCTACCTCAATCAATTATGACCTCACAAGATCCTATCTTCAACTCTGCTGAGGACGGATTATCTTCTATTTCTTTGGATGAAAATATAGGTGTCGATTCCTTCTTATTTCCCGAACCCGCCTACCCCACCTACCAATACTACGGTAACTAGTGCATTCGTTTGACGCTCAACCGAGTTTTTCTCACTACCACCCATTTATAACGGGTAAACCCCATAAGCGATGCTCAACACGATGCCAGCTCAATATCCACCATATGCCTCACCTCAGCAATTGCCCATGAATAATATGCTATGTACCAGTGATGGTGGCAGGGAAAGTGAACAATTATGACGGGAGACGAACCACATTCAACACAGGACTAGCACAAGCTGGACCTGTCTATAATGGACTAATTACGCCATTCTGGTACCTGATATATGTAATTAGCGCTGAATATGAGGTGTTAGCGTCTTGAAACGAAATATCGTGGGGTGCGAAGGTTAGGGTCAAAAGTCTTGTATATGTCTAGATCTTAGCACCGTATTTTATACGTCTCTTGAATTATTAATACTGTATCGGCTACATACTAAATTCAAGATCGGATAGTGGCCTGTCCACTAAACTCAGGTAGCTCATCACTATATTTACAGCGATATCAGCCACTATAGCTTAAATAGGACCGTGTAGTCTTCTTTCTGTTTGCACGTTGTTTGCTAAGCTTCCATAGATGTGCGAAGCTTTTGGTCCCAACCTTTGTACCTAAGTTAATAGGGCTGTAGGGATGACGAAACCCGGCAATATTGTGGGACGGGATTTGAAACCGTGGCTCGTTACACTTTTTAGTTTTGTGAAGGATACTTTCGAATATGGTTCAGCTTAAATACCTAGCCTATATCAATTTATCTCTGGATGTACATGTTTATAACAGCTCGTGCTAAAAGAAAAAGAAAATACTTTAGGTATCTTAGGTACTATAGAAGCTCTTAACTAATATAATATGTACCCCACCACCTATTGATAACAATGCCCACTATGTTTAAATATGATATAACTATAAAATACTAGGTTAGGTAAATAGTTGCGAGGATGCTTTGGTATGCAACACAGTACTAGAAATGATATTTTTAGGCAGACCATAGCCCCGGGTAATAAGACGTCATTGCCTCAGGTACCCGATGGATACCGAGGTAATTACACATCTACAAATACAATGAATGTCCTTACACAGCTGCGTAAGGACATAATTTTTCTTCCTTTTTCGGAAATGCCTGACAGGTCGCACTTAACAACCATCGATAGATATCACATGTGTTGCCCGGGCTGAATCATAGGAAGTTTCACGCCGTTGGCTATTAGCAACAATATTCTTCAAAGTCGATAAGCAAGGTTCGGCACGGCCACAAGTGTTTTACAATGGCCACAGTTGAAGACCTATAGCTGATTCTTTTTTCTATTCCTATTCTAGTATCATTCAGCTCTGAAAAATCTATAAGCTTATAAAAATACAAACCCTTTGGTTAATAACTAAATACTTCGTCCGAAATCTCAGTCTACCATACACATAACCACTAGTCAATCCCAGCACGATAAGGTACAACTAACGAGCCATAGACGCACCGGAGAAGCCAAACTATTCAAAATAGCATCGCTTTGATAATGAACCATGACTACAAGAGCAATCTATATTATATCTCCCAGCCAAATTCTGTGCCGGAAGCTTATGATTCTGACGGAAACGACGTGGATATATTTGAACCGGCTACACCAGAACCTCCTGTGTTGGAAACGGATCACCCATGGGCACAGATAGTTAATGAACTCAAATTATCTGTCCTAGAGAAGTTTTACCTCCAAAGTTAGTCTCGTGATAGTTTATAGGAGGATGCTATAAGCTAATCAACCCTAGGGAATCGGTCCGAGACGTTCCCTCAAAGGAACTTAGGTATGCAACAGGGAACCGATAGCTTTCAAAGCTCCATTCCAAGGGACACCGAACTTCCTTTGAAGCATCAATTTATGTGCCCGTTCTATATACGCGATCCAGTAAAGCATATGTCATGCTTTACGAAAACGAGCCTCCGAGGAATTGAAAGGGTCAAACAACACCTCTGGAATGCGCACAAGCTACCACCTTATTGTCCAATGTGTGGCAAAATCTTCTCAACGACGGCTCGCTGTAATATTCATATTAGGCATCGAGACTGTGGCCGCCCAGTACTACCGACGCCTGAGGGTATAACCATACAACAAATGCAACAATTAGCTCAACCTACCGAAGCTCAAATGCCAGAAGGACTGCAATGGCTATCTATCTGGGCAATAGTTTTCCCTGGGGCAGACCTTCCAGCTGTTACTTATCCTTTAGGCCCCATGGAGTCTACAGTTGGCCTATTTCGAGATTACTGGGCGTACAATGGGAAAAGGTTGGTGTCTGACTTTCTCGAAGCAAAAGGCTTCCACAGTTGCAATCTACAGGATGAGGACCATCATTTCACAGCACTGTACACCACTGTCCTCTACCAAGTAACTGACTACCTAGTTGAGAGTATATCGCACGAAACTTCTAACGAAGCCATTGGAGGGTTAAGTAGGTCTTAACACAGTCAACCCCCTAAGATTTTCTATGTCGGAATCAGCAGTGGATTGTACAATACAACTCACGGTTTGGGAAGAGCGGAAAATTTGGATCGGCATCACTTGGTTTTGATCATTCTCTCCTTAGATTTCTTTTTCTTACATCAGTTGTTCAAGCCTTCTAGAAGGGCAAGTTAAACCCCCATCCCCCCAAAAAAAACCTATACGAGAACGGCGCATTGAATTTTACAAGGACGCGATCAATTGCAGTTGACTGGAATTTGGAGTTTATACAAATAGCGCAAGCTACGCTATTGTACATTAGAACCTCATTGTACTCGGTTATTTCTCTATGTTCGAGATATAGCTGTTATAAATGTTTTATTATATTAATATATATTTTCTACAATAGTTAACTAAATATATATATGAGACTATTGATAATGAAATTGCTATATATAAACAGATAGCCATCATGAGTTGAGACTAATATACTGGATCGTATTTCTAACTCTTCTCGACGCTTATATTGTATAGCAAATCCGAACGTGTCAACATACCGCTATACTACTAAAAGGTTATTTGGTAATAGATTTTATTCTATTACATTTTATATGTCGGACAGACATTTATGTCTGACAAGACGTCCCATCTTAAAAGTAGGTTGCTAATATTAACAATCCACAGTACGTACTATTTGATCACGTAACGCAGGTATATTACGGCTCTATTATCGAACTATCTCAGATAGCACATTGCCTAAACATGGAGTCGGGATTATTAAACTCGCAGAACTCATTGCGATCAAATGCTGTCAGGGTATAAGTAAATTAGGGGTGGATCTACTGGATTGAGTATATCAGGGGTGCGCAGCGCCCTTGTAAGAGGAGGCGTTAGTAGTCTTATAGGAACATCCCTTGCTAGCTTCGTTAAAGTTTATCAAAGTAGAGAGACTAAGAGAGATACGTAAGTCTGACTGAGTCAATGACGCTATAGTCTCAACGTACAAATATTATCTAAGGGATAAATGTGTAAGATGTAATATGGCTTCAAAAATGACCGCTCTGTAAGCTGCCGGACTTATTGTATACCGTCTATATCCAAATTTGTTATCATAGGTAAATTATCAATCACATGACATAATTTGACGAGAGATTGGCAATTCAAGGCCTTGATTCATCAGTAAAGAATGAGTGTACCAGGTCTAGACTTAGTGTAACCTTGAAACCGGTTGACGAGAAGATCCTACGTCGAAGCGAAATGCTGAAATCGTCCATCCAATATAATTATTACTTCTCAATTTATTTCGGAACCATGCCTGCTGACTTTCCCGAAATAACAATAACCCAATCTAAAAGCGAAACGAATCAAGAATGAAAAGGATCGGACATAGGGGTTGCCAACGGTCCAATTGGCCCTCAGAGGTCCTCCCCGACGCGGGGTCCGCTTCCACCAACCCAATCTTCTCGCTCATAATATCGGAAGATAAGTTCGTAATCATCAAAATCGTGGACGATACGGTCGACGCGCCTGTATCCTGGTATCTTCTCCATGCGCTTGCTACGACCGATCCCGGTTGGGATTTCATCATTGTCGTACGCCTGGACCGCCTTGGCCTCGAAAAGGGTGACGCTGAATCGTCCAGGCTTGAAGATACGAACCACATGGTCAATAATTTCCGAAGTTTCACGTCCATTTTGTCCACCCGGAACATTCGTTTCGAAAGAAGCAAATGAGCAGATAGGCTCGGGCGTCACATGCACAGTGAAATAATGAGTGGACTTAGCATTCTCATCAATTTCCTGATTCTGAGGGGCTGGGATAATGCCATTGGCCGAGAAACCGCACGGAGTAAAGAGATAGGCATCGATACGGGCATCCGGATATTTAGAAGTGGGATATACGTCCGAAAGCCCGCAAGCGTCCGAAACTACAGTCCCAAGCGCGTGGCCTTCTGTGGTCAAGCACTCGGTGTCTGCTTGCTCGGAGAGCGGGGTATGTGTATCATGCAAATCGGAATCGCTTCCGTTGCTGAACACATCAACCGCGTCGTCAAACACGCTATCGATCGTGCTTGTGGTCTTAAGTGTAGCGGTACTGCCAGATAGGTCTCCAAAGCTGTCAATAGCCATCTGTCGTGCTTCCTGAACCTGTTCAGAGAGCCTAGTGCTCGCGACCGCACTCGCGTGCTCTAGGTAAAATTTCTTCGCGTTCTCTGGATCAAGGTCCGTCATCAAAATCTCGAGTGTTTCGTCGTTGCCCTCCAAGCCACCATTAAAGGCGGAAGTCAGACCAGTGGGAATCCTGAACGTGCTGGTAGGACTCGCAGCTGCCTTTTCGCCGTCCGGTGTACGAGGTGGCGTCAAGCTCATCGATGGCGAGGTGATATACAAGTACCAATGATCACCATTCATTTTTCCAACCATATAAGCGCTTCCTCCCTCGAACATGTCATCAAGATACTTAACTTCCTGCTTCCAGCTGCGATGGGGTCCCTGTTGCTTGTGAGGGAAGAGGAAGTTCTTTCGCGAATAGAACACTCGATAAGGCGTAGCGGCAGCATGGATGTCGCCCATTGAGGCAGCATTGTGGAAAGGGAATCCGGCATGTTCAGCAGCGATTCGAAGGAGCCTGTGGAGGCCGAGAAGAAGTGTGGTGGTTCCGCACGTCTTAAGAATAAGTTTGTGGGGAAACACGAACATGCTGGACTCGGAGAGCAAATAGGCGTCCATGTGCTCTGCCTCGAGAACCGAGAGGATTTTGCAATTAACCATGTCGAGCATTCCAACCCAAGTCTCGCTGGCGACCGACTTCAAGCCATTCTCCTTGACTCCAGGTGGGAGAGATTTCGAGTTGGGAGCAAACCAAACTTCGAGCAACTTTTCCGGGCCTAATCGCAATTAGCATTCATCTACTAACGGAGCCGGAATATCATACCTTCAAAGGCATTGGTGGAGTCTATATCTGCAGCAACATCGTGATTGATTGTCAAATGGGGCGTGCCCTCAGACGGCGAAAATGTATAGTTGGTGGGGATCTCGAGGTTGATCATCTCCGTACAGGTACCCTAGAGGCGAGCAGCCGAGACGATTTAAAGAAGCCGGCTTGTCGTTCTAAGATCGAGATTTTTGCTGCAGGTAAGGTACTGTAGCGACCGCGGAGCACTGACTGCCGCCCAAACGAACCTTGCGGTGTTCGTTTGAGAGAGTAGGCCCACAGGTTAATGAGAAACTGTGAATGCTGGCGGAGCCAGCTACAATGGCAAATATTTTCTTAACGTCTCACGAAGAGGACGTTAGGGTGGTCGAGCTCGGAGGGGGAGAAAGAAGACCTTTGACCAAGGAATGGTGACGCCTTGCTTAGAGCCTCGTTCTGGCAGAAACCGATACCTATGGGGGAGTATCGGACCTAGCAGACGAGGGTATCTGCAAATATGGTAAAAATAGAAGAACGGACGACAAATGAAGTTGGCGAGTTCTAGTCGAATGCTTTCGAAGCTAGTGTTATCTGGGTCTGTAGGAGAGAAATATGATTAATTAGAGCTCATATGAATCTACTCTTGGGATTATTAGGGAATTGTACTTTGCAGGCTTAGAGAGGAAGCGAAGTAAATCTGCTGGGCTCATGGAAAACCAGGCCTTATATCAGATGGGTAGTTTTCCCTCCAAATGCAGGCTACGTGTGCCGAGGAGTACTACGTTGTTAAAGTATGAAGGATTTCGATTTTCTTTGACATTGACTATTATCGCCAAGCCCTGCAACGAGATATCTCTGATTGATTGTATCGTGTGTCGTGTGACGCCGGCAGCGATCCGAGCGCGAGGGTCGACAAGTTATAGGCAACAGAAAATAAGTCGATAGTTGTAGTTAAAATGTTTGGTTCTACCTCTTCGATAGAGGGAACCGAGTGGTGATATTCGAGGTATGCTTTTAGCAATTTGGAGCTGACAACCACCAAGGAGTAAAAAAAAGGGAATTGTTTATGTTTAAGTAGGATAGTTGAATTGTCTACTCGACAAATCTTAAATTCGGGGGGTAAAGAGAAAGTTTTAGTGCGAAGGTTTAGAATCTATCGGTGAAAGAGATTTTTAAGGTACCTTAAAAATGTACTGCAGCTAAGGGCAAATGCAAGGTATCTCTTAGCTCCGATTCTAGAAAAAATAGAAAATTTCAAACTTTAGAAGCGAAAAGTTAGTTCAACGTTGTGGGCGGCAAGGACGGCCATGTGTACATGTGGTACCAGCTATAGGGTATGTACCTGATTTTGCAACGATTGGGTAGGTGTGAGGTCACTACCATGCCCAAAGTGGAGAACAGGTACTACAATGCGGTGAAGATACTTGGATACATTCTTAACCTACTAAACGTTTACTGGACGGGACCGGGATGAGAGCCATCTGACGGGATGTAAGGCGGAATGTAGGGGAGGGCCAGTGGAGGGGCAACCAGTTAGGGTAATGCACCTAAGGTACCTACGGTTTATGTATGGTATGGATTGTACTACCTATCATGGAAATCTGTCAAATATCAACATGCGAAAAAAATCATCGAATTGTCAAATCGATTCCTGTTTTTATTTCGTGCCTGTGCCTATGAGTGCGAACGTAGCATTGCGCATTGCCACCACCACCATTTATTTCCTGGTTGCTAACTTAAAAGTTTTGTTACACACGAACAAAAAGAACTCGAATCGTAACTCTGCATAAATGACTCTTAGTAAAATGGTCACAGTCCAAGGAAAGTTTCCACAGCCGCGGGATTTGGAGAATGCAGGTGACTTGAATAATAAAAAATTTTCTGTTCTGTTTTTACTTTTTTTCTAGATAGCCTTATCGCTACAATGTGCCACAATGATGATGGATGTCACGCCCCTGACCGGCCTGCGAGATACAGATCGTTATAGGTCGGCATTTAATCACAGCGTCGCAGAAACTTGCTTCTCCACAAGCATGTGGCATATGATTGATAGCGATAATCGAAAGCTGCAGAATTCAGTTGTAGCGATAGCTGCCCAACCACTAATAAAACAGACTGTTGGCTTCTGCAAGCCTGGGTATGTATCAGATCTTAATATATGCTCCCTTTGGTCATATCGATGTAAGATTCTAGGTAGATGAGAGAACTTAGGCTGATAACAATGTGTCCGACATCATCCGATGGCTGTGACGATATCTTGCGTGATCTTTTTGAAGATAGGCTCAAGGGAACACTCCAGGTATTTCTCTGCAAGTAGGCCGGCTTCTCTCGTTTCTGCAGCCGATGTGTCTGTATGTCCATTTTGATGTGTCTCAGAGAAGTCTTGCCCGTCAATAACGGTGCCTTTAGGATATCGTGGTCGTCTTCCCGTTTCGATTAACATAACAAACTGGGGGTCTATAGGAACACCTCCTAAAAAGCGCACATTGAAGTCGTCCGCCATGATTTGGCCTCCTCCTTTTCCAAAAATGTTGGTGCATTCAGCGCAGTTTGGACACACGAACCCGACCATATTTTCAACAACGCCAATGACAGATATGCCTGTTTTTACGCAGAAATTTAACTCCTTTCTGACGTCTGCCGTAGCGACTGCTTGGGGTGTAGTTACCACTACCGCACCGGCGACCTGACCAGGTAATGCATCTTTCAGCAGTGTTTCGGCAAGTGATATATGTTCATCAGATGTCCCTGGGGGTGTGTCGATGAGCAGGAAATCAAGTTCTCCCCACAATACATCCGAGAGGAACTGTCGGACCATGGCAGTTTTCTTGGGGCCTCGCCATACAACTGCGTCGCCTCTTCCATGCAATAAGAAGCCAAGACTCATGCATCTCAGTTCGCCTATACCGGTCTCGGGGTTCGCAGGATGCACGGTCACGGGAAGCCAACCTCCCGGGGCTTGAGTAACTTTCGCATCTTCGATGTTAAACATGCGCGGCATCGAAGGCCCAGTAAGATCGACATCAAGGACTCCGACAGAATACCCAGAGAGCGAAAGGGACAATGCAAGCTGGGTGGTCACAGAAGATTTCCCTACGCCTCCCTTGCCAGAGAGGACCTATAAATTCACACGTTAGAGCGTATCATTTAGCATGAGAGGGTTTTGGATCCTAGATGCACATACTAGGAGAATATGCTTAACTTTTGCAAGTGACATTGCTAGAACAAGGAATGGGTGGACTTAAAGAAGTAGCATTAAATAATAAATTAAAGGTGAGTTCTAGAAATGAGAAAGCATTTCAAGGTGGTTGAAAGGGCTTCATTCTACATATTCATTTCTTCATACAAATATGTAAGGATGTACCTACGCTACGTAGCTAAAAGTTAGAAGAATCGGCCTCTGCCGGCATCGCATTTATCAGCACGAGGTACAAACGTTAAGTAGCAATTTCATAAAGCCATACCACCAATTTCACATTGCCCCGCCATCAACCCCGCCACACCTGAAAATGACGAAATGCCTGGTATGGATATGGATGGCTTAAAATAGAATAATGTTTTAACTTTAGTTAAGCCACAGTGGCTGTTGTATAGTAATGTGGCTAATATAGTAGGACCTGGGTACATTCCTTCAATTCCCAGGTATTCCGAGCCAAGAATGATTAATCCCCCCTGATCCCCGTTCATGTGCAAATCCGACCCCTAACTGTCTCGCGTTTTCTCATTAGTGGTTGACGAGGCATTGACAATCGCGCTCGAGTAATCGCAGCACGAATAATCTTGGCAACTCATTTTGCAACCAACTATTTACTTGAAATAAATAACAGCATGCTTCATTGAACAGCTTGTGCTCTCTAGCTTTATTGTCGCATCCACATGTAAGCTGTAAGTGTAGCTTTAGCTTCGTTACCGAAAGTCGCCTCATTCGCAACCAACAATGACCATCGCCTTGAGCGATCATGGACGATCCCTGGGGCTCGCCTTGGGCACTACCAGAAACAACAGCAAAGAATGACCCTCCGACATCATCACCTCCAAAAAATCTACTCAGTCCACCCCCAAGAGCTTTCTTCGGTAGCGCATCAAACTTTCAAACCCAATCTCCATGGGCGACTGAAGGTGGACTCGGAGATTGGACTGGTACGGAGCAGAGCGATGTTGCGGCAAACACTGCGGATTGGGGAGTATGGGCAGAGCCATCTCCGCTGATTTCCCAGTCGAGTCCGAGACCAGACGAATTTGGTAAAAGGAGTTCCGTTGCATTACCGAGCAGCGCCGCGACATCTCCAGGGCTAAGGCCACTCCCACGATCTCGAACATCTTCCGTATACCGTCATCACTCGCCAGATCCATGGGCTACCGAAGTATCGCTACACGATAAAAAGGACGACTCTTCGACGCCTGTGAATGCACTAGGGATCAGCAACGTAGATTCTCAGCATGAGTTGAGCAACCCTCCCATGCTAGCAGTACCAAAGCAAGATGTCACAAATATCCAAGAAACAAGGGAGGATAATACTAAGTTAAAGGAGGAAATTGAACAGATTCCAGCCGATGGATTACAAGTATGGGAACTGCCATCGCCGTTGTCAGGCATCGAAAAACGTCAAGATTCGGGATTTGATTCAGCACCTAAGATCGACGTTCAGGATGCTCTATCCAGACCACCATCTACAGCCTCGCTCAATAGCTCTAATGGGTTGGACCATCAGGACTCTCCGATCACGTCTATTGACGAGGATACTAGGTCACGCCTTCAGAATAGTTCTAGGAAAGCTTCAGGCAAGGTCCAGGAGCTTGTAGGAATGTATGATTGTTTAGCAAAGATTCCTATAGAAGAGTCATCTGCATCAACACGACTTGAACCACCGAATGGAGAGAGTGGAAGGAGGTCTAGATCGCCAAGCCAGATCGGAAGCACAGGCGGGGATACTGATTTTGGCGATTTTGAAGACGTGCGGAGTGAGGATGGCGAACCAGCTTTCGATTCAAACACCCCACTGGCAGCTCCCAAAAGATTATATACACCCACACCTCAGCCCGAAGACACCCCTACCGAGAACCACATTAGTGAGCACTTGGAGCGCAATACCTCAACAGCAGCAAAAGTCTCCGTACCGGTTCAGCAGCTTATTGACAAGTTCGGCCCTATACAGTTCGATATTGACTTTCAATTAGTTGATAAGCTCTTCCCCGACCTTTCCCAAGGCTTAAAGGGGGATGTAAATGCAAGAGAGAGCAGCGATGTCCCGGATCAAATCATTAAGGATAGCTTCACGACAATTTCAGAGCGTAAAACTTGGTACCGTCTCTCCCGTTATGGGTCAATGCGTAAGCATGACTTGGGAGATGATGATAACTACCATAGAGTGGAATGGCCGACATCCAATCTACACGGCGATGTCATAAAAATCGTTAGAAGATGGATGGAGGAGGATTCGATATCTGGACGGGTCACGCTTGGGGCTGGTATACGGACGAGTGTCTTTAATTGGGGTTCTTCTGCAGCCCCCGTCGACCTAGGTAAAGTATTTGCCCGCAAGGTGTCTACTACACACTTGCGAAATACTTCACTCCCGGCAGTAAATCACAGCTTAGAACAGCCGGTACATGCAGCGAGTTCTCGTCCTAAAGCGATATCAATAAAAAGTCCGATAAAACCCCCCGATATGACCCCCAAATCTCGACCAGCTTCCATTCCCAGTTTCAACTGGAGCTCGGATACTAAGTCATCCCCTATTACGCATTCAATTGCCAGTAGCGATGACGATGGCGACCACGTAAGCTCTACTCACCGGACCATATCAGCGCCCGCTGTAGCTGAGACAACTCACACTGCGATTCAAACATCAGTACAGTTATCTCAAGGCGAGGCTAGTGGAGAAAATGAAGAAGATGACTGGGGCGAAATGGTGTCGTCGCCTCGGGTAGAATCTCAGCATGGCCCTACTCTCATGATACAGTCAATGAGCAACACGAATAGCGCTCTCTTGACTTCAGTTAGCAGTGCCGCTAAGACACCTGCGATCGACACAAAGGGCATATCAATAGCCCAAAGCAGCAGTTCAATGTCCAAACATTCTATTTCGACACCCAAGAATACCCCACCTCCAGCACAAATTTCTAATCGGCCAACATCCTTGGCTATGAAAACATCAAAAATAGACACCTGGCCTACCGCAGATTTCTCTACATTCGAAGATGCTTCCACACATACGCCAAAATCGTCGAGACAAGATACTTGGCATCTTGCCGATTTCTCTATTTTTGAATCGCCAGCGTTGGGATCAACGCCAGCTTCGATACATTCTCCAGTTTCCAAGTCAAGGCTTAGTCTGGATTCTCGCGATAGGAATACCGTTCAGGCGAGTACGAACGAGGTCAAAAAGTCTAGAACCCCTTTGAAATCCGTGCTTGGTCCGATTGAGAATAAGACAGACAAGCAAGACCAAGATAACGTTGTTAAGAGTATTGTACAAAACCTACCGGATCTATCATATATGCTGCGTTAGCTCGTTACTGGACGAGTTTATTTGTGCTTGGGCATTACACGGAGTTAGCAATAGCGGTAGCTGATGATTCAGTCGTGGGATAGTTTATCGGGTCGTTTCGAAGCCTGGATACTTGGAGTAAACAAAACGGTAGTCATTTCTTGGGTATGAAATGAAGCATTACTTGAGGCGTTTAAGGATCCTGTTATTACATATGATATTATATTTCTGTATACCACCTGAGCTTCAATATTCCGAAGCAGTCAACCGACCAATAAGAATAAACTTACAATACTTCATACTTATCTCTTTTCTCGTATAGCCACCAAGTCCTCAAGATTCTTTGGCTTGTGATAATTAAGATGCAGTGCCGAACTACTGGTGGAATTTGAGACTGGAAGTGTTGCATAAGCCACCGTTTCTTGAGGCTCAATGCAACCGTTTTACTGGTCTAGCTAACCCCTTGTTTTACAGGGGCTCTTAGCGCTGCTTATTTAATTTTCTTAACGCGGTTTTGGCACGACACTTCTAGAATCCGGCCAATAAGCCAGCACCTGGAATGTACCATCAGCCCACCACAATTGCAACTTTTGGACTTTCGTAACAATCCCGCCCGACATAGAGTTTAACGACGTTGCACTTCCCCTTTATGGACTCGGCCTAATCCGTGATTCTTCAACTCCAAACATGTTTAAAAGGTAAGAACCAATAACAAGTTGGAACAGCTAGGGGTAGGTACGTGTAGTTTCCTAGCTACATAAGGTAAGTGTATGTATAAGTGTTTTCTATAAGCTCAAAAAAAGATCAAGGCCAACGTGCTTCATTCTTCACCATCAACGCCGCCACTGCAAGCGTATTTGCGTTTTTCTTCATTCCACAATATGGCCTGGATCAGCCATTCGCAGTCTTTTCCCGCCTCTTGGATTTTCTTCACATGAATACGTTATATTATCTCTGTGCATTTAGATTGTTTCTCGTTTCGTTACGACTTTTCTTCTGTAGAAGTTATGATACCCAAATACGTTTATGTATCTTTCCTCTTCGTCACCACTTATTACTTTTCAACTTTTGAATATAACAGTCGGCTGGCCCTGCTAATATCTAAACGACAATCCCATGGCGCTTAAGCACAAAGATGAAGAGCAAGCATCCTTGGTTAACGATAACCATGCAGAATTACTCTACAAGTCTCTTGAGCAGTATAATCAGGACCAGAAACAGAAAAAGCGGCCCTCATTTGTTCTCGCCGCTCTTATATTCCTCTTCCTCTCGTCTGCGGGAGGGGTTTCCCTTGCGATAGTGCTTATGTTGCGACCGACCGAGGTTAAATTTACATGTATATCGCGAGACCTGGTATTATTCGCGTCCGCAATAGCCCTACTATATATATGCCTTCATATCAGAGGAGCCAGAAAGAATTATAAGAGAAAAGGATCCGGACCGCCCCAAATATACGGGCAATATCTTCATGCCAGTGCACTTCTTATTGCAAGGCTTTCTATTGCCGTATGGATAGCTGCTTTAGTCGCGACGGCCGTCATGATCGCAAAACCAGTTCCCTCAGACGGGCTTGCCAGAACAGCACCTTATTTAAATTTGGTAATATGTATAATAGCAATGTAAGGCTCCCTCGTAGCCTCTCTAGAGATATAACTAATACGAAATGCAGACCGTCGTCTTTTATTATATCAGCCAGTATTGAAAGCAACCCAACTCCTTTCGCAACGAAGGGGGTATCCAAAGACTCGTTTTTGAACGGTCGTGCCAGCCAGTGTCCTAGTGATCTAATCACGGATCTTAGTGTTTCTCGCCGGGCTTCGTTACAGAGAAAGGAGAGTAATAGTGCTTCTATAGCCACAGTATCTTCAGAGGATATATTCCAGCTCGGCAATACTAAGGCGATCGGAACTTCCAGAAAAATTGCAAGCCCGCTCACTATAGGGACTGGAAACATACCTAACGATAGGGCAGAGCTTGAGCTTATGGCAAATTCTCCCATCGGGACAACTTATACCGTCCGTACGGGCCTGGGTAACATGCCTTTATCGTCGACTCCGCGCGTGCTGAAGGTCCCACAAAAACTTTCTAAATCTCCTCCTCAGCCAGTATACCATCCTGGCGCATGGCGAACCGAATGGAACGACATTAAACAGGCCGATGTACCAAGAACAACCAAGACATATATAGATACTTCCATCGCGAATCGCTCTGCTTACTCTTATGCATCCGATCGTTCATCCCATTCACGTTCGCTATCGAAAAGTTCTCGCGAGACTGGTAATGGGCATCGTGCAACGCCAAGCACCAGTATCACAAGCAGTGCAAACCGCTCCCGATTATCAACGGTTAGATACGCCTCGCAGCCAGAAGTTGCTATCCGACAAGCAATTAGGGTCATCAAAAACCCCAACTACTCACCTCCTATGAGAGCTGCTACCGATAAGGACCAAGACGTAATCAAACCACCAGAGCCGGCTATGGTGTCGAAAAGTGCACAAACAACGTATGACGATACTAAACGGCCGGCATTACAACGTAAACCATCGAACTTTTCCCGTCCTTTGCCACCGTCGAGGGGTTCAGAAGCGGACTCGGCCATCGAGATGAAGATGCCAGGAACATTTACGATCTAAAATATTAATAATGTATATTGTAAAGATTTATTAGAGATACCAATATCCAGCTCACGAAGCAACGGACTTCCGAATATAATAAAATGAAATAACTCAGCTCGTTACTATCCTGAGACATTGGGCTATTAATGAAACAATAACTAAAATCACCATGTCATTATTTTAACAAGCGTAAGCTAAATTAAGGTGGTTGGCCTCTTTTCTATAGAATCATTGTTCATACAGGCTATTGTTCTGCTCATTACAATGTATATAAGGGGCTGGTTATGAGCAGTAGTCATGCATGTAATTAATTTGGAAGCTAGAGAGAAGTACAATATGCGCCTTACGACGAAGGGCTTTTTTGTCTTAACTGTGTCTCAAAGTAAAACCTTGAGGCTATTGAATCAGACATCCTCTCGGAACCAACTCATGTCTCACCGACTCATATCCCTAGATGACGTCGAAAAAAATGTTGAATTAGCGGTCCGGCGGATTTCTACGTGGGGCTTCTAGAAAATATAGAAAAATAAAGTACTAGAGAGCATTTCTTGTCAATAGTACTGTTTCTAGACAAAAGTTGGTTAGCATCCAGGACGACCAATAGCCAGTGCTGCCGAACATTAGGCTTGTAACCACATACGATACCGTTCCGATTGATTGAAAACTCCATACATCATGGTAGAGGATAGTCGAGGCACATATTAGTAGTACTCTATTCATTATAAAGCAGATTAGATATTATGTGTACAAAGTTTTGTTAGAGTTAGCCCCTTTATTGAGTGAAATATCCTAGATATCGCCTACTAAATTTATCAGGTCTTCTATAGTTAAGATCAATTATATGTACGTATGCACGATGGAGTTAGGAATACATAACGTAACTTCCTATTTTACAGTTATACTATCCTGCCTTGAAAATCTTTGACATGTCATAATTTAGTTCATTGCAAAGCTTAGTCTAACACTTTACAAAAAAAAACGCCTTTAACATGTAATGACAACATGAAATCTTTTTTCTAGAATAAGTACAAAAGCGGTTATATTGTCTTTCATACGCTGCCTAAGCCGGTGCGAGTGGAATTAAGGCATATTTTGGCTCTGATGCTAATTGGTGGGATCAACAGGAGCCCGACCAGAGAGAACATAACTCATGCCGTACTTATTAAACCTTGGATTTGCTCTACATTGACAATATTGCTATTTCCTCAATGTTCGATAGTAATAAAACTATGGTAGTAGAGGAAGTCTTGGACTATAGTGAACTTCACTGGGCCCTACAATGCCTTCGGGAGAATCGTATGTTAGGCAATTTGCCACAAGAGTCGGTAGCTAGAATTAAACTGTGCCCGAAATATCTATGACTACTAAATCGATAATTCTTTATCAGGTAGCTTAAGGAGCAGCTGAACCTGATCTGCTCCAACATCCGAGATCCAAGCCCCCTCGTACGCCCTGGAAAGGTCTACGGCACGGATGGATCTCGTTCTCATACTCGGGTGCCGCGGCATAATACGGACTTATTAGTATAACTCATCTGTCACGGAATACCATGGATTCCATCTTGTTCTCGGCCCCGACGTCAGATCGGAATGATTCTGTGGATTTATTGGTAGTTGATCTATTTCATGTCTAATTATATGAGATCGTACTGTCCTTGGCACACAGTTGATATACGATTGTGCTAATGAGATATCTCCAAGGGGCGGAAAAGGAATAAGAAAAACGAATTGCTCACCACTCTAAACCAGCAGCCAATAGTTGTTACAAATTGTACGGCGCTTTTTCCCGTTCAGCATGACATGTGGTGGAAAGGGATTGGTTTATGATTTCCTTATCCCATATTTCTAGTTGTGGTTGTTATAAAGTACTACAAATATTTTGCCGGTCACTTCCCTCCTGACTTGGGACAACCGTTGCTGTATGTGATACAAATTCAATAATAATTAGGCACAAATGTCACACAGTGGCGGTATACAAACAGTGGTGACTTGAAAATTTTCTTTCTATACACCACTGTATAGGGCTAGGTAGGGGTGGGTCTGAGAGATACAAACTATATGCAGACAAACACATCCTACATTAGCGAACTATTAGGTAAAGTTGGAACGATTATTGCTATCTACATCGTATGTCTAAACGAAATTTGGCTCCGGCTTTGTAAGCTTGTTCTTTTAGGCTAACTAGAACCGAGTTGAAGACTTATGTAGGTAAAATTTATATCAAGGTAGATACGTTCAAAGAGCAGTTATATAGTGCCTTCTTCGAAAGGCTAAGTAGTCTGAGTAGTCATGTCATAGCCTAGTAGTTACCGATAGAGCGGTACAATAAGAGTTCAGGGCTGTTCCGCCTCCAGGCTGTGGGCAAGTGCCCATTGCAACTTAATATGGGTGGGCTAATAATTACACTTCCTAAGATATAAATAGATAACTAGTCTATACATTGTTCCACTCTTAAGATGCCTAATACAAGTTGCTCTCGCTCCTTATTGACCAGAACTAGGACAATATCGAGCCTTAAACTCGGCTTCCCTTCTGGGTTACACCCCCACGACGACAAGGGAAGAACCTCTTAGTTGCCATTCTATGGCCGCAATGGGACGCGACTTTAGGCCAACTTCTAAACCCGCGTGTTTGATATAGAGCAAGTTCCGGAATGTCCGCGCCTCATGAGAGGCACTTAGAATGGTTACTGCCGAGTGGCTAGATGGGTTGGACGTGAATATCGTAGAAGCCCGACCAAGGCTATGATCAGGAGAGGATTCGGGTTCTCTCTCGTCAACTGAAGATAGTTTGCCCCATCTGACGGTCCCTCCGTGTGAGAGGAGGGAGGGAGCTACCAACTTAATAAGCTCCCTACGGCGAATAGAAAAACCGACTTCAGGGCTCCCCTTAAGTGTAGATCAACCAATTGCGGAGACATCGCAGCCACTTCTAACCGTCCACAGGCGCGTCCTTGTGACCTCGTTGCGGACCTCTCTGGGTCCGAGGGACGACCAAGTTCGGTCAAATACCCTTGAATGACTGGCTGAAGGGGAGGAATGGACTTAGCCCAAAAAAACCCACAAGGCATTCTCCAGGGCTGATATCATCCACTACAGAGCCCCGTCCTCTGATAGGTTGAAGGACGGCCATGTTATATGCGACCTGTCGTCTTTTGGTTCTCAATGCACTACAATTGATGCCATGCGTATATGCTTTATTGGTTAGGTATATATCTTGTTCATGGTGGCGGCATCAAAGAAAGCAAGCATGTCAGACAGCGGCATTTCCTCAAAGAGGATTGCCTCCAGTGAGATCATCATACTCCTGTCAAAGTCTAACTTGACCTCAGTCTAGAACTTGTCACTAGCCCTATAGTTGATCGACATTTACAATGGATAATTGGGTTGGATAACGCTTGTTCACCCACGTATTTGATTTACTCGGTGTTCAATAGTAGTCGACATAATTTATGCAAGTCAGTCGCCGACACTCAACCGGATGAGCCCCCCCGAGTTCTCTCTTACATAGAGAAGCGCGTAAGGGACAAACGCCTTGTCTTAGAATTAAGTACTTAACTACTGTCAAATGGTTCCTGACATTCCCGCCCGGCGCGATGACGATGGGAAGATAGGAATAGAGGGGAAAGGTCAGTCCTTTATGGACGCGAAAAGCGCGGACCCCTGCATCGGGTTTGCGCGTGGGCGTGGGAACATTTCAAGTCCCACAACAAGGCGCGATCTCTTGGTGCTTCTTGTGGCTCGTTCGGTTAACCCTCCTTTTAGAAACTAATCTTGGCTAGAATTTAAACGCGACTATTGGTTCTTTTTTAGTCGCACAGTTGCAGATTCAAATCACATCCGGGTAGTGGTAGGTAGGATAGTTAAGATAGTTAGGATAATTTAGGGTAAGGTAGTGTTCTAGGTGAGACGGTCTCGAGTGAATCTAACAAATCAGAGATTGAAGTTGATGGATTCGCATAAGAGAAATGAGAGACATCACTTCGAATTCCCTGCATTAATTGGCCCCGATCCAGTTAAATCAAGTTCAGCCCTTGCACCGATCCACCCTCAAAACCTGCATGTAATATGGTACCTATACTCCTTAGAGCTGCCCCCTTTTTCTTCTGATTGGATCTGTTTCCCCATTTTCTCCATTTACACCAACACCACGCGTTCAAACACGAAGAACGAAGAAGGGAAAAACTTACCTTTTTAGGTACATACTTTAGGTACGGTACTCACCCTACTTTGACCCTTATTCACCCTACTTACTCACCCTACCTAACTCACATCCTACAAGCCGATGCAGCCTACCAAACCTATCAAACCTACCAAACTAAACCAAACCTGCCTGAAACATTTGAGTGCGAGCATCAATCAGTTCTTCCCTCTATCTCTCTCCCATATCCCATATCCCATAATCCCATATCTTAATTTCCTTGCATATCTTCCTACGCACACCTGCAGCCATCCATCCATCTTCGTCCACTCAGAGTCCTCTGATCCCGTTATTCACTTTCCTCCTTTTGACTAGCAGACGGCGCTTCCTCACTTCCAGCTTGGTCTAATAATTTTAAGCTGCATTATCCAAGACATCGATCTCCGCGTCCATCGTTCTCCATTTCTGGCCTCCCCCGTCGCGACCTACACACAAGCTACCTTGTCCCCCGGACGCCGTCTGAGATGCAATAAGACTTGTCAATTCCCACCTACGCAGTCCCTCGCCCACTTTTCCTTCTACCTCCCCCCTCCCCATTACATACCGGTACAACAAGTTTGGTTTGCTGCTGCGCCGAGTTTGACGATATCAATTGTTCACGACAAAATAATAAACAAACAATCGTGGCAATCGACTTTTTTTTCCCCCTGTCTTGGGTATCAATTAATTGTCGTGAACCTTGCCTCTAGTTGTTATTACAACTTATTGGTAATTGCGATCAATCTCCGTAGTGTCAATCTTGGTTGCCTCGGATTGAAACGATTTTTAGGACGACATTTTGTGGTTCGATTGGGCATCTGGATCTCTTCAAACCCCTTCACCACTCAAGTCCACGTCACAACTTACAACAATGGCTACCATAACTCGTCAACCTTTTGCGCCTCTTGACGGAGCGCGCTTGCAGACATTGACAAGTCTAAAGAACAGACAGAATGGTAAGTCCAAGGAGAGATCTGTGATATCCACAGAACCTTGAATACTTCCAATTGTATCGTGTCTTATCTTTTCGTCCAATGCAAATCAACACAATCTTGTTTATGAAGTTGTTTTGTTTTTAAATACGAACTAGGAACCCCTTGCAACTCATTGAATTTTGAAGGATTGCATACTAAACTGTGGTCATAGCTCTCTCAAACGCATCGCCCGGGAAGCGAAAAGCATCAGACAACTTAGATGCGGACGATTTCGAGAATGTAGACCCGGTGTTCTACTCTAAGAGATCAAAGGGCTCGGATAACGTCTTTGCTCCTAAGGATTCTTTCGTCAAGCCGTCATTCATTCTCACGAAATCGGCTAGTGCAAACGATGTCTCTATTCCCAGTCCGCCTAAGGCAGCCGCTCCGCGCGCACGGTCCTTACTCAACCCCAAGTCGCCTGTTTCGAAACTGAACATCAGCTCCGCTAGATCCACACCCCTTTCGGCTCCTGCTGGTCGATCTCCAACCCGTGGCAAGAGGTCCGGTATCCTCTCTTCTCGCCAGCGCACAAAGGCCTTCTCCCGAGTGAACCCGCCTAGCTTTAGTTCGAGTGCATCTTCCGCACCATTCTCACTGGATGCAGCTCTCAAGGGTACGATCCCAAGTTACGCTGGCCGCAAAGCACCTTCTGCGGCAAAGTCTTCATCTGGTTCCCTTGGCCTCGATAGCCTAGAGGAGGGAGATGTAAAGCAATCGTGGTTCTTCGATATCCACGAAGACACCCCGGAGCAAGAAATGACCAATCTACTCCAGCACAGTACCTGCGTACTGGACATTAGCTCGGACGAAGAAAGCGAGACCCGGCGCCAGCGAGAACGTGCCGAGGGCAAGGAAAATGTACCCCCTGCAGATGATGTCTCCCAGACCTCGCGACCGCGGGCTGCTAGACATGTCGCAGAGGACGAGATGATGTTTGAGAAGGAAAGGAATCCTCTCGGCGAGATGAATGTTCGCGAGTACTACTCTGAGGGATGCGATGAGAATACCATCGTCATCATACCGGGTGATGACGAAGAAGTTAGCGAACCCCAACAGCAAACACGATACAGACCTGACGTCACCTCCGCGCTTAACTCAGGCGAATCAGATGTACCTCAACTTGGCGCTAAAGACGGCGCACAATCAGTAGACCAGTTGATGGAGAAGGCAGATGAGCTTGCTCCTAACGCAGCTGTGCTCGAGCCGATGGAAGGAACAGGTGAGAGCTTCGAGGTATGGGAAAGCGGAAGCGCCAAGGATGAAGCAGAGACAACTGCATTAGTAGAGGCGACGGAGTGCTAATGAGGGATGGACGATAATATTACGGATTATGGATGTACGTGTTTTGGAGTTCTTTTGGACTGATGGGTTTTATTTCCAGTCCCCTAATACCTAGATTCTGTAGCCTACGGGAGGTAGCAATGGCGTCACGGGGCATTTCTTCAAAGGTTTTATGGTGGGCTACGGCTGGGTTCTATGGCAAGGTGCGGACTGGGTTGGTTGGTATTCTGCCTTTTACTGTTTTTTTGTACGAATTCTTGTACATATGGCTTGTGTATTTTTTTTTTCAGGACCTACTTTTATACTAGGGCGCCCGTCAATATACGCTCTATAACGCTGTCTGCTGTCTACCGTCTGAAAATACTATGTGAATGTGATGAAGAGTATCAGCATGAGCTGGTATATCAATGTGACTTATAAGTGCTATTTCGCTTTATACCCATCTACTCTACATAGGTGTAGATTAACTGATTAATGTTACTGATTACTTCTATTCGAGATAATGGCAGTAGTTTAGGTAACTATCCAAGATATGCAGAGCTTATCAACTATTTACACACTAATTCTAATGATGCGTGTACTTGAATAATACTATTTATATTAGCTGCGCGCTTAAGCAGTACGACTGCATTCTGTGCGACATCTTTCACTAGTGCCGTCTCCAAACTATGTGTACATAAAGTGGCTCCACTCAGACGCGCTCGGGTACCTCCTAATCTAGAGGTATGTACCTCTTAAGGCAGGCTAGAATCGCGGTAACCTGCTGCATTTTGGCCACAATCCTCTTCATATCATTCGACATCATATCATGCTTTAGCGCTTTAAAGGAAGCTTAATCGACGACTCATTTTGATAGCTCTTACATCCAATTAATATTCACATGAAACAAATTGTTCATACAAGTTCATAATAACTAATTAGTTCTCAAATTCTTATCAACCAATTACTAGTATCAAGTTTATCGTGTCTTGAAACTATCCTGGCTTCATTAGCGTTGCGCGTCTCACTTACAAAGCTAGAAGTATCTATTGAGCCGGCCAATGGCTTCAATAAATGACCTCGCTACAGCCGCGACGATAGCGTCATCGGCCGTGGCGTTACAGTCTTCGCCTACGCGGGAGGATACTCAACCCGCTACACCCCCAGCAGCGCCGCGGTCACCTTCTTCCTCAAGACCTGCAACAGCGGGCGCTCAAGCTACGTCGCCCTTGATGGAGAAATTCAAGCCAGCGAATGCGAATGAAGATGGGGACTCGATAACCGTGGCAATAGGTGCTCCCCCGGTATTAGTGCCGCCTCAGATATCTCAGAATCCGTCGCAAGCACAAATTCCGGCTCCGGCTTCGGCCGCCGCCGACGAAGTTGAGCCTGCGGAAGCTACGGGGGATGATAGCGTTGAAGATAAAGATGCTGTTAAGAGTTCTGTAAGGGACGACATGGATGGCGTCGAGAAGGTAGTAGCGCCGCCGTCGAAACCGGTGCGCGGCACTTTCGTTGTGTTCGAGGGAATGGACCGTGCGGGAAAGACGACGCAGGCAAAACTACTGCAGCAGAGGTGTATCGAGAGCGGACGGGAGGTGCGGTTTATGCGATTTCCTGGTAAGTGTGATACTTCGTTATGCCGCTGACGTGAAGTATTGTATTCGCTGCTAATGATGCCCGATACAGATAGGACAACGCCTATCGGTAAGATGATCGACTCGTATCTTAAAGGGGAGGCGGAGATCGAAGATCACGTTATTCACCTGCTGTTTAGTGCTAATCGATGGGAAGCTGTGTAAGTTTCCCTTTCTCACGCTGAATGCTCACATTATCCTATAACTTGGTATGGTGTCTCGTATCTAACTTCACTTTACTTATAGCAAAAAAATCAAGGCAGAATTGGAAGCCGGTCATACTATAATCTGCGACCGCTTCTACCATAGCGGTATCGTATACAGCGCTGCTAAAAATATCAAGAGCCTATCTCTATCCTGGGCCAAGGCGCCCGAGATCGGCTTGCCTAGACCAGATATGGTCCTTTTCCTAGATCTGGAGGAAGAAGTCGCGCGCGAACGCGGCGGCTGGGGTGGCGAAGTCTACGAGAAAGGTGAGATGCAACGGCGCGTCAGAGATCTGTTCTGGGGCCTTAGTATGGGAGATCTCGGCAGCGCTGTTGGAAACAGCGGCAGCAGTAAGGTTCCGAGAAGAGGTGACGCGGAGAGGCTTGGGAATGGAACAGGTAGAAGTGGAGATGGTAGTAATGAGGAGGGCGAGTTCAGGCAGGAGGAAGAGGATATTCAGATCGTGGACGCGGATCTCGATGTCGAGAGTCTATCTGAGAGGGTATGGGAACTCGTACTGCCGAGACTGGAAGCAGTGGAACGAGGCGAGGTTGGGAGAACTGTACGGATCGTGCGGTAACATTATATTCGACGTGTTCGACTGATGTAGTGACGATATTATATAATACAATATAAGTAAAGCCTCTTACCTAAATTAAACAGAATTATATTAACAATACGCAAAGTCTCCGTCTACTAACGATAAGTATCACCTCCAAATACTTAGGTAGAGATAATCTCAGAAATATTAACATATTTTCTCACCAGGTCTCGTAGTCTATGCTTTTCGTATCTCTTGTCCCATCTTAAGTTTTCATGGCTAAAGGAGCAGCTGCTAATAGGGGAAAAAGCTAAATCTCCCGTCTCGGGTACATGCTACAGAGCTGAGAAGGAAGTACAATATTGAATTTGTAGAACTCGAAATCTTTTCCTTGTACTTAGCCATAAGGTTCCTAGATTTGACATTCTTTTCCTCTTGTTCGCCCCTTTCGTACGCGGCTTATACTCCCCATAGTTGGTGTTAGATGAACCGTCCTTCTTAAGTCTCCGAAAACTCCCCGACAGTCATTCCGTAGATTGACATAATCCCCCCGAGCCCGTACAATGGGGTCCCATCGTACTAAGGCCCTATTAGAGAAACATATTTAACTAAGAGCTCAGGTCTTGGCATGTAGTGACAGTAGTTATAGAGTTCCCTCGTTTTCGTATAAATCAGTAATGCCAAGCCATGTCCTATATCCAGTTCTTGATTCTTAACCACCTAGGTAGGCTACGAGATTTCATCGTGGTGCAAATATGTTGGGGGTCCAGCCAGTAGTTCTGATCTAGATGTCTGATCAGTACAGGCTGACAAATTGTCCTGAACAAGTGCAAGCCAGAAGACTATACTGTAGTGCAGATCAGCAGTCTCGGGACGCTGGAAAAAAGTCCAGATGAATGTCAAGGACTAAGCCCAGAAACTAAATTTTAATCTAAACATGTAGTGAGACTTAGCTCCTGGTGTTAGGCTCATATCTGAGGGAGTCCGGCTGGCGACAGAATTCATTGAGTTGCCTACCTAGGTACTAATATGGCCAAAGGGCGTTGATTAAGTAAAGGTCTTTTAGTCAAATTTTGACTTAAAAATAACATAACTATACCGCTATCTTCAGTAGCTTCTTATAGTACCTAGGTAGCTATTGAGGAAACATTATTGAATCATTGTCTGTCACATTGATCACAAGGAAATGTGAACATAAAAAGTATGGAAATAGCTTCAATATTCCACAGGAAATTCTAACCCTACCTAGGCTATGGGACCAGTGACTACCTACATACTAAGAGCATCCTTTGTTATAGATGTCTCTAGATACCTCGAGAATCCCAAAAACATTGGCTAGTAAACAAGGATTGGTGCAGCATCATCTGCTACATTTTCCCAGAGACCGTTCATGCCCTCGACGAGAGCTTGAGGCAGTGGCCCTCCTTTAATGGCGGCAGCGTAGCTATCCAACTGATGCTGGTTTCGAGGTCCGATAATAACCCCATCGCCCTTCTCTCCGTCCAAGATCGAGTGATGTAATACCCACCGCATGCTAGCATCAGTCATGTCAACCCCGTGAGTTTTACAAAGAACATCGAGCTTGCGGATCGCATCGTGGAAAACCGGCTTGTCATACCAGTTCCTGCCTGCCATTCCCATGAGATTGTCTTTAGAGACTTCAAAACGGGTCCCTCGGAGCGCGTCGGGGTTATTGCTCGATAGGGTCACCTTTCCTGTTAGCATTCCCCCGGCTAAGGGGGAGTATGCTACGAAGGAAATCCCATGTTTCTGAAGAAGGGGGAACAGTGTAGTCTCGTAACCGCGGCATAGGAGGTTGTACTGGCCCTGGAAGGCGCTTGGCTTCACGTAGCCCCTCTCCTCACAGATGTCGAGGTATTCTGCGAATGATTCGGGGGAGAAGTTGCAGATGCCCGTCTTCGCGCATTTGCCCTCCCGATATACAGCGTCGAACGCGGCGGCTTGCTCCTCCAGCGGAGTAGTGTGATCCGGACCGTGAGCGTAGAAGATGTTAACCTAATCAAGTCAGAACTTTCTAGCATTATAATCATAGTAAGCAAGGCAAACATGCCTTCTCGGCTTTAAGACGTCCTAAGCTTTCGGCCATGGACTTTCGGACCGCGTCGACCGTCAGGGTATTGTTGCCCCCATCGAACCACATGGCCTTGGTATCGAGCAGAATTCCTTCGTATCCGATCTCGCCGAGGAAAGTCTCTGCCACTCCCGGATTAGTAAAGGGGTAGAGAGCGCCCGAGTCTATCTCTCGACAATTCAGCTTATCCAGCTGCGCCATCTGGTCGCGGACTTGGTCGATTCCAAAATTGTGGCCCCAGCTGCCGGTGCCGATTAGGATATTAGGGGCCATGATGAAAGTCGAGATGGGTTTCGCGAGCTAATGATATCGGGTTAGGATATTGGGAATTGTTGAAAATAACTGTGTATGTGCAGTATGAGTGACTTGAGTGGCTGCTTTAACCCTTCCATGAGCAAAGAGAGAGGCATGATTTATATACACGTTCTCGCCAAGCTGCCTCGTACTGTACTTGACAGCCGTCCCTCGACCATTCGTTCTAGCAAACATTTCTTCTCCAAGAACCAAAAGAAAAAAGCTGTAGAAGTGCCAGGGTATTGCCTTTTATGGGTTTGGACACAGGTGTTTGATTTGTAATGGTCCGATGCTCGGGGGCCTCGGACTCCCTTGAGTGTGGTATTCAACTGCTTGTCCCGTTCATACTCGGGATTTGATTCGGGACTTACAAATCAGAGACCAATTACTTTAATAGCTTCGTATAGATTCGGCGTCCAAGTCCATCGAATTACGTGACTGGATATACTCAGGTAGCATCCAATTTCTGTACAAAATAATATCAGTAGGCCACCATTGTAATCTACGTCAGGTACATCAGCGAGGAGCTAGCTGTGATTGAGATGAAGCCCGTATTAGCCCTAACTATACGTGAACTGGATTTAAATCTTGATTGAAAAGGTTGTAACACTCTACATTTCGTTTTCCCTGTATCACTATCGATATTGTGACGTGTCACTTATAAAATGTATGTTTTCTAACGTGCCTATGCTAGGATATGCACGACACTACCGGATTATATGGATAGAGAACATTTTTACTGTGTCGGTAACGGCATTAGAAGCGTCAAAGACAAGCTTCCTACTCGGATTAGACTTATATAACTTCTCTATTCAATATCATTCTGATATTAGAAGCTTTGGTATTTGATTCAGCTTACGTGCGGACCGAGACGGGTTTACAGTATACTTCCGGGAAAGGTATCTGGCAGAGAAAGCTGAGCTTATTGTTATGTTCTTGAGCCGTTAGGCCAAATATTTGCTATTAGGTCAATTTGAGAAAGCACTACAGCTAGGTAAGTTGGGAAAAATAATGATTTATTCCTATCATGATCCCTCTCAGGGGAAATGCAAACGTAATTATTTGAGTAAAGTCACTCAAGCTAAGCTCATTGCTAATACACATGAATACATAGGTGCCTTTTCTGCTACCATTTCTCGATGCTCTCAAAGTATTTCCCTATCCAGCCAAGCGATAGCCTCTCCCTTAATTCAACCAGACTGGCATTATTCCGAGTCGGAGGTGGCCTCGCTTCTCTAATCCTTAATGTTGACGACTATGCTTCGCCAGGCCTCGAAACGATGGCGGATAATGAACTTCATGGGCTGGATTCCCTCCGGTCTGTTGATCCCGAGGCGTTCAACCGTCTCGAATTGGGTGATGATCTTGGCTGTGAAGGTAACGAGGCTGAAGCCGAAGATATCCGTGAAGGGGCCGAGTCCCTCCAATGGGCGCAGGCGGGCCATGATGTGCAAGAACATCATCACGTTATCGTAATATTGTTTTCGTTCGACTGCGAAGTTCCAATCCCGCTTAAAGGCAATCTGGATGAAGGGGCGATTGGAATGGGTTATCTCGAAGACCGACACAACTTGAGGGCCCCAGAACGAGTCTACCATGCAGCGGAACCAGTCCTTGTAGCGGTAGTAGTAGAAGTTGAGTTCGAAGAGATACTTGTCAAGATTGAAACCTTGATACACATCAGGCTCACTATCTTCGTAACTACCTCGCGTAGCACCTTGCGTAGAATCGTTTGTGGATAGTGCAGAGGAAGCTGAACTAGAATTGTAGTTGAGGAAGAGGATGTTGCCGCCGGACCAGATGGGTGTTTGGAAGACACTTTCTGCTTGTACGACATTGATGCCCTTCTTCGCGATGTTCGCCTTGAAAATCTCTAAATACATGGCATACTCGCGCTGGTACAATGTGCTGCTCGACGAACTGGCCGCAGCCGTCTCGGGGGGGTGCTGTTCCATTGCCAACTTGGCCAGAAGCCACTCGTACTGTGGCTCTCCATCAGCCTCAGTTCTGGCGGTAGCTTTGCCTTTAGCTTCGTTATCCTTATGGATGACTTCTGCTATGGAGAGTTCCATCTTGTTTTTTCTGGTGGGACTGGGTCGAATTAGGTGATACTGTGGTTGTTTTCGCAGCCTTTCCTCGTGAGGAAAGTTGGCCCGGTGCGAAGTGATTGGCTTTGAGATTCGTTGCCCCATTTACGCATTTAATGGGATTCTCTAGAAGAGAATACGACTGAAGAATGTGAGTCAAGATTGTTGTTGGTTGTGACACTTTGTTCTTGCCAAGTGAGCAAATGATGGGCTAGAAGGGTGGTGGTTCCCGCCTCAACTGGGCTCAGCCAGTGGAGCTGTATCGTGAAGAAGTGAACAAGTACAATGGTACATGTATTAGGGCAAGGCCATGACTATTAGGGCGATTGGGGCACCTGCCACGATGCGGCTCTGCTGTGGGAAATAAACACAACTTTCTCGCCCATTAGAATAACTGGTCTGGGCTACGATCATACGCATCACCTCCCTTTTGAGATGTTGTAAGAGGGTCTCAAAGGGAGCCTCTTCATAGTATCTGTCTGGCTACTCTTAGAACGATTATACGGCATGGAGTAGCATATTTAAGTGCTTCTTATTTATTTAATTAACTCCTCTCTATGAGATCGTTCACACCGTTCACACCGTTTACACTGGTAAACTTATGAGAATTCCAACATGAGGCAAATCTTGTATGATTACCTACCTACCTGTCTTAGATTGCTCTGTTGTTATGATGGAGACAATCTATTCATATAAAGATGATAGCATTTCCAGCTACTGTTACAAAAGGGTGAAAATATCCCAGCTCGATTTCGAAAACCGTTATTAAGTAACGGTCAGAATAACCCCTCATCGTCAAGGTAATAGTTATGCTGTGTACCTAAGTTATGACCGCTACTTGTGGTTTATAAGTAGCCATACTGCCCCTAATATGACCAGTAACGGCTTTCTGCCTGATGGTGAATGGTACGGTTTCAAAGGAAATAATAATAATTCGAAATTAGGATAAAAATTAGCGTCGATGTTAAAAGTATTATAGTCGTTTCGAAGTTTACCCCTTTTTTATATGCTAAATAAAATTTTTCTTTTCATGATCCCTTCCGCATTAGCATTCATTGTGAACAAGAAATGTTAACGGCTATAGAATCAAAGGTCGTGCTCACACCTCATATCCTGGGACAGCTTTGAACATAGGTTGTCACTTGCAAGTTTGGATGAATACTCTGAGCTTCCCTTATGGAAGTTTAAGACTGTGATGGAGGATAGAACGGTATAAATGAGCAGCCTTACCTAAGAGTAGTCTGCCAGATCGAAGTTGGACTTACAAATTAGCTTCTGCTTATTCCTGTAATGAAGTACCTAAGGCCAGAGACTTGGTTACAAATCGCCATGGCGATTCACTCTCTCCCTGACAGCTTGTTCGCCATGACGATGTACCCATTATCAATACCAGTGACCTAGCAACTATTTCATTACACAAAGCAGTCTCAAAATAACAAGGATGGAAAATACCTACTTTGATACATGCGCACACATTACAACTGAGAACTTGGAAACTTGGAAGTAGACGAAGCAGTTGGATTCGACCCCCAAGGTCAGACAGAAACCTGTCTAACCTAAGGCAAGGCTACGCTGGTGAGTCTAAGCTCTTCCACAAGAATTTCGAAACTATCAAAACTAATCTGCCATCAACATAGCTTGTGACAAGAACGCCTACTCTTACTTGTACTCCGAGAGAAAAGCCCACAGCAAATTCCATCACATAAACTTCTACTCCATAATCAAACAAACCATAACTTCCATTCGCAAATTTATCTACAATTCCTTGATACCATTTTACCTACACCTTCATCTAAGACCAAATCCATTCATCAACAAGATGCCTTCTCAACAGGTAACCAAACAGCAGAAGGAACAGGACCTCCTTCTCATCAGCGAGCTGGTCGAAAAGGTTGCTGAATTTCGCCGAGAAGGTAAGAAAGGACGAGCCCAGTACGAGCTACACCGCCGTCGCCTTCGACAGTACTACGCCGACCTAGGCAACCAAGCCGCCAATGAGGATGATGGCGGCGAAAGCTCGAACCAGGCTAGCACCAGCACCGGCACCAGCACTCCGCGACGATGCTCACACTGCAAGGACCTACGAATCAGCAGCCACTGCTTGAAGAACGGTGGATGTCCTGTCGGCAAAGGCAAGCAACCTGCATAAGGAGCCCCAAGGGCAAGGACGTTACACGCCTATGAAGGATCGATTGCAAATCAAGATACACGGAGGGGTTGAATATGAGTAGGGTCGTTTACCCACTCTTCGGGATAGGAGAGTTTGAATTCTAGGATGCTTAGTGCCCTACGAGATTGTTGTGATGGAAGTTATCGCGCTTTACTTTGCTTGTACACTAGTTTGGTCTGAGTTTCTACGACCACGTTGAACAATTGCAGTACCATTCATCCATCTATTGTTTGCAAGTAGAGCATGAGCTTTTGAGCAGCATACCGTATTACCTACCTCTTAGGTTAGGTTAGGTAGTTCATAGGGGTCATAAAATACAGATCTGTAGCATTTCGCCCAAGTCCTGAACACAAAAAGTATTAGTTTCATATTGGACTCGGTAATGACCATTCTGGTGATCCCATAACCTGGAGCCTCCGGATTTATTACTCATTGTGCATTAAAATCTCGTAGAGATGGTCAATCGCGTACTCTACAGTATTAGTATTTTGACTTCACCTACCTATCTAAAGCGTTTAAACATACGCATCCAGCTAAGAGAGGCCGGGAATTGTCAGTTGTGCTTTAGGGATTGGCACAGCATGGTCGATAGAACAAGGTCACCAACACTGATTCAAAGAGTTTTACAAAAGGATAGATAGACCATAAGTATCTACAGCAGCCCAAGCTCCGTAGGAAGATCTACAGGGTATTTCTAGCCAAATATACAGTTTCAAATATCAAAATGTACCTTGTTGTTTTTGTCCTATTTGCGTGAAATCCATCCAAGCATGGGCTAAAGAGACCGAAACGCAGAGAAAAGTAGACCGCACTTGAGCATTATGAAAATCCTACATTTGCTAAACCCTTCTAAGACCCGCAAGCAACCCGTATATCAAAACCGCACCCCGTTGAACCCATTAATATCTACACCACTATTGTAGTGTATCGCGCCACGAACTGGGGAGCTTACGCCTGCCATCGCCGGGCATGGTGGGGCATCATGTATCCTAATGATAGAGATGATGCAGGCGGCGGGACTGGTACCGCACCTGTGCTAGATGGTGCCACATGGCCCGTCGCTTGAGAAACTATAATAGTCTCGTGGACCATGGGAGGAGCAACCGACGTGGAGTTAACATGATACATGGCCATGGATGTCGTGTGGACCATAGGGGGAGCTGCGGACGTTATATGGACCATAGGAGGAGCTGCGGATGTTGTATGGGCCATGGGCGGGACTACGATAGTCTCATGGACTACCGGGGGTATGGTTTCGTGAATAATTGGTATGATTACTTCCGTTTGGTGGCAGGCTTCTGCCAGTTCTGTAACAGTGACGTGGATAACTTCGGATACAGTCATCACATGCGGCGGTAGAGTAACGTGGACTGTCTCGTGTACCGTCTGAGTGTACGCTGAAAGGGTTACGTGAACAGTTTCGGTCACGGCTTGGGTGACATGAACAGTCTCCTTAACTGTCTGTGGCGGTAGAGAGATATGAACCGTCTCTGTGAGTACCTGTGTCTGTAGATGGCTCAAGACCTCCGTCTTTGTAAGCGCAACCGTCTCGAGCAGGTGCGATACTTCGGTCTTCGTGATAGCTACGGTCTCGTGGATCGATTTGACCTCGGTGATGGGGACCGTAACAGCAATGCTCTCCTTCACCGTCACGGGAACGCTGATGGCTACTGACTCCTTCACTGTAACCGGAATGCTCACGTGTACCGTCTCCTTGGCAGTTTCAGTTTCCACCTTGGTTACTGGAATACTAACGTGTACTGTCTCCTTCACCGTCTCCAATTGCGTAACAGGAATACTCTCCTTGAGAGTTTCCTTGAGAGTCTCCTTCAAGGTCTCCTTAAGAGTTTCCACCTTCGTAACGGGTACGCTCACAGCGACGGTCTCCTTCAACGTCTCCTTTAACGTCTCGACTTTCGTGACGGGGATAGTGACATGTACTGTCTCCTTCACAGTTTGTATCTGCGTTACGGGAACGCTCACATGCACAGTTTCCTTCACAGTCTGTACCGTGGTCACCGGAATATTAACGTGTACGGTTTCTTTCACGGTTTCCACCTTGGTGACAGGAATGCTGATATGTACTGTCTCCTTCACCGTCTGAGGAGGTAGTGTTTCTTTGACGGTCTGGGGAGGAAGCGTAATGTGGACGGTCTCAACCTTGGTTTCGAGTTTAGTCTGAATTGCGGTTTGTACTTCGGTCTTTATTTCGTGCTTGATTTCCGTCTTCAGTTCGGTCTTCGTGAGGAGCTTCTCTTCTACCTTCGTGACAGGGATGGTAACATGGACAGTTTCCTTCACCGTCTGTGGAGGTAGTGTAATCGATTCCTTTTGGACCTCGGTCTTCGTAACATGAACAACTTCTGTCACCGGGACGTGTATTGTTTCCTTCACTGTTTGCGGTGGTAGAGTAATGTGTACGGTTTCCTTCACGGTCTGGGGAGGTAGGGTGACGTGTACCGTCTCTTTTATTGTCTCTGGCGGTTGAGTAACATGAACCGTCTCCTTGACGGTCTCTGGAGGTAAGGTAACATGGATAGTTTCCTTCACTGTTTCCGGCGGTAGAGTTACATGCATGGTCTCCTTCACGGTCTCCTTCACGGTCTCCTTTACAGTCTCGGGAGGTAGAGTCATGTGTATCGTCTCCTTAATTGTTTCTGGCGGTAGGGTCATATGCACCGTCTCTTTTATTGTTTCTGGTGGTAATGTCTGAAGTCTTGGTGTTAGCACATGGAGGTACCTAATGTTTATCTCATAAAAGGATCGGGTCCGGCGTGGATCTATTAGGGTATAGAAATAAATTTCCAAAGTTACTTACCACATGAACTGTCTCGTGAATCGTCTCCGTAACAATCTCAGCTGGAGCCGCTCCCTCCGTAGCAACTGCTACAGAGACGAGGGCCAACAGTGCCGGTATATAGCTGTTAGAGAACTGCATAGCTTTTTGAATATGAAGGAGTGATGATAATTAAATGGGTAGATCCAACAACGAGTAATATGATTAAGAAGAACTCCCAGAGTACAGAAATCTCAACTACTATAAAATTAAACTGGCTCAGCCGTTAAAACGAAACGAATGAATATCAACGATAGACAAGGCGTATGAGAAAAAGGAACGGATCGACCGCGAAAAGAGAAGCGAAGTGTAAGCACACAAGAAAGAAGTTTAGGTTGAGATGAGAGAGAATGAACGGAAGAGCATGGTCCCTGATCTTCGTGGGAGAAGATGAGAGATGTAGAATACCAAGACTTATACCCTAGTTTACCTATCCTCAACATGGACAACGGTTGCATTCACAAGATACCCAAGACTGATGTTGCACAGGGGCATCTAATCCTAAGCTAGGGGCTACATGAGGTGACATATTTGGTAGAACCTTGGTTTAGATCCTATGGGGTGTTGTTGTGAGGGCTACCCATGAGAAGATCTAGTATGCAAATTCGATATTTGCCTTACTAACAAAGGGTAAGTGTGACGTCTTGGCGGTATTCGGTCTGTACGTCAAAATGGTAAACGTCGTGCCGAATGCCCCCTGTCATCTGAAGTTGACTTCGGATGTCCAGTTTTCCGGCCCCGTGCAGGATGGGTTATGGACAAATGGGGATAAATGTACTCATGGGTAAGGTCTCGAGATATAAGCTTAACTATCTAGACTGAATACAGCCTCTTCTGCTCCCCTCTATAGTTTCCCATTGTTTACCCTCCCGCATGCCTCGTATTATAAAGTTAAAATACGGGAAATAGATCATATTTATTAATTGGCGCCTCTAGGGAAAAAGCAACACACTCTTTTCATAGTGTCCTATTTTATTTCAGAAGACCATGTTCGTGCGCTCGAAATTCTACTCGAAAGCAAAAGCTGTGTATTGAAGGTAAACATTACTAGCAGCCTAATTATCAGCTCCGAATTAAGGCGAAAGCACGTGTTTGGGGCTCAAGAGAATGGGCATATTAATCTTAAAGGATGCAAAAGGGTGTTGATGAGAGAAAGCTTTGCATGCCCAGGTTTCAAAGTGTTCTCCGGTTTCGCTTGGCATTATTCTGAGATCAATTCTCTGCAGGGGCTACATTGTGAGCTGTGGCAACTCTTTGATGGGATCGAATATGAAACTTTTGATTGGTTGGGAATCCTACGATCCACAACGAGGAAATCTAGCCCCTTCACCGTTTTGGGCACCATAAACCTCGCTATTAAGATGTTTGATACTGAATACCCTAAAATCATATATATAAAGAGCCTTATCGTATTATCTAACTGTCTACCTATACCTGGGTTAGCCGACAGCTGCGTGGCTTTGTAGCCTACCTAACCTAGTCATCATCACGGAAGGGGCGCCAAGCGATGAGATCGAGACAGCGCCAAGAGTCGCGCTCATACATTTTCCAGGATTTCCCGTGCTGAGCTCAGGACGAGCATGAGCCGTGGTACCCGTTGAATAATATTTCCCTCGGCGATATATGTATCTTCCCATCCGAGAAGAGAGAAGGTATTCCCTTAAGCCTCATTATAAAATTGGGGGTTTTTTCCCTTTCTTTCTTTTCTTTTTTTAACATGGTATACCTACCATTCAAAGACCAACCTCGCACTGAAATCTCTTAATCAGATACTCGCAGCGCACATTCTATCAGTAAGGAGTTTCTAGGTACCTGTTAGTAAATCGGAGTTCGATGTGGTTAATCGCTCTTCTTGATTTAAACATACCTATCCAAGAGATCTTGGTACCCGCAGAACGCGAAGTGCGGATATTACCTCCCAGCGTAGTTCTGTAGGTCAAATTTTTGCTGAATAATCTGGTAACGGTCCGGGCTCTGGGACCTATCAATCTCCATCGTAGTTATAATGGACTTATTGTCTTGTATTATAGCAAACGTTAGGCGGTCAAATACATAATAAATAGTGATAATCATACCATCACAGACGTCTTTAGGTTGTGGTCAATTATCAACTCTCATACATGATGATACTGAGTTCATCAACGTCCCGGCAGGCGTCTAAACGATATAAGGTACCTAGCTTACACTTAACCATCCATAACGCAGCAATGGCGTGAAAGATTGTTGCTACCTTTGGGGCAAGATGATGCATAAGGAAAGACTTATCCATTGAAACTATCTAGAATGGGTTAGACTAATATGGGTTTATTCTGCCAAAACTTACCGCCTTAATAAATATACCTGCCATCTGTAGGGCTATGTAATATACCTCTGTAAAGTTATATTATAATATAAAATTATTTAAAAATATAAAAAGTAATTAATTATATATATTATGGTGTTTTAAGGTTTGATTTATTTTAATAATTAAAAGTTATTTTTATTTTTTAAAATTTTTTTAAATTAACGTTTTTAATGTATAACGTTAATTATTTATTATTTTTTCGAATTTAACTTTTTTTAATCTTTTTATTATTTTAATTTTTTTAATTATAATAATTTTATTAATTTGGTAAGAATTTTTTATAATTTTATCTTTTTATATTTTTATTATTATTTATAATATATTATATTAAGTTTTAATATTTTTTTCTTTTTAAAAATATTTTTAAAAACCTAATTATTTTATAAATTCTTTATATTTTTTTTTTAATAAAGGTTTGGTAAAACCATTAACTATTATAATTTTTATCCTTATATATAATATTTAAAAATTTTTTCGGTTAATTTAATTAATTATTTATTTATATTAAATATTAATATGTTAGGTTTAAACGTTATTAAAAGAATTTAAGATTGTTACAATAGTATTAGTTGAGTTTAAAAATATAATAATTAATTTAAATTATTTAAAACCTAATTTTTTAAATAATTTTGTAATTTATATTATTAAAAAACTTGCCGCAGTAAAGTTAATAAATTTAATTTTAATATTGTTTAATATTATTAGTGTTTATTTTTTTAAAAATTATTAAATAAAATATTTTATAAAAATAGTAATATAGATATTTATTAATTTTTAAAATTTTAATATATTTACAAATATTGCATTAATCTAAACCTATAATTTAAAATCTTTAATTATATATTTTTTTTTTAATATAATATTAAATAATTTAATTATTTTAAAATATTATTATAAATATTTTTTAAGTTTAAAATAAATCTTTTTTAGTTTAATGTTAACTTTTAAAAAATTATTAATTATTTTTATAATATTAAATTAAGTATTTATTATTAATTAATTAAAAAAATCTATTTTTCAAATATAGTTATATTTTTCTACCTTTATAATAAATAATTAGGTATTAAATATAATAATATTTAATTTTTAAAATAATTTAATATATTTATTTATATTAATATTATATTTAATTAAAACTTTTTTAATAAATTTTTTTTAATTAATAAAAATTTAGTAGGATTTTTTATTATATTATATTTAAAATTTAATAAATTTAATAATTTTTTTTATTTCTTTTAAAATAAATTTATTAATTAATATATTTTTAATTATTTTAATAATTTTAATATTTTTTTTAATAATAAATAAATTATTAATATATAATAATATTATTATTTTTATTTTATTATATTTAAATAAATAAATTTTAATAATTATTAATTAAAATCTTATTTTAATTATTTTTATTAAAATAATTTAAAATTATTATATTAATAATTAATATAATTTATATAAAATTTAATAAAATAATTAAATTTATTTAATATTATTAAAATATTTTAAAATTTATTATATATAAATCGTTATTTTTAAAGGAATTGTTATATATAAAAATATTATAATAATATTAAATTAATAATAATTAAGGTTTAAAATAATTATAATAATAAAAAATATTTTAATAATTATAGCGTTTATTACTATAACATAAAGATTTTATATAATTTAATTATCCTTTTCAAAATTATTATATATTACCAATTTAACTTTATTTTTTAAAAATTTTTTTTTAAAATTAAATTTTTAATTAATTATTTATTTAATTAAAAATATTTTTTAATTAAAGAATAGTTTAATTAATTTAAATACCTTATAATCTTTAATATTTTAAAATTAAAAATTAAAAACATTTTTTTATTAATTTTATAATTTAAAATTATTTTTAATATATTTAATTAATTTAACTAAAAATAATATAATAATTTTTTTTATTATTATAATTAAAAATATAAATTTTTATAATATATTATTAAATTTATTAATTATTA